AGGCGCAATCCTAGAAGCATTGAGCTAAACTGTGTTTGGTACTAAACCAATCAAAACTGCCATATTACAAGCTTTTACTAAAATCTGGTCAAGTGAATGGGATCGCTGGACAAACTGGAAGTGTGCACTTAGGTGATGGAAAACTGACGATAATCTTTCCCACCACTTGCAGCTTGTCCAGCGAACTCATTTGATCAGATTCTAGCGAAAGGAACGTCAGAATCAAAAGCTGCGCCAAACATGCCACAAAACCACAAGTTTTGTAAGTCGCCTTGAGGAAACCCGTAGTTCAATCCAGTAATTTACGAATGGAGTGTAATTACGTAATCGCGAATGACTTAGAGAGAAAAGCAATTGAACAAGCAATGCATAGTTCAAACTTCGGACATGATAGGCACCTGTGCACGTTCAATATGAGTAATCCAAATCGGACCAAGTGGACTGAAATTAACCGCGTGTTCGGTTGTACTTTCACAATGCGAAAAATACAAAGCTTGAACAAGCGTGCTGAGCCTGGATTGCCGCTTGACCCACATGTTATGTGGATCAAGCGGCAAACCAGGTTCTGCACGTTTGTTCAGTTTTGTAGTTTGTCTGCCATAATGGCGAGCTTCTGCCGTTGAGCCCTTACAGAGGTATGCATGTTCTCTGCCAGGTATCTCTGGGGCGGCAGCCTTGTGGACCTTTGGAAATCGGGATGCTTGTTTTGGCGTTACCTCCGGATCGACGGGCTTGCACTCCAGCACCCGGTTGGAACTAGAGGCCATCCGCCTGGGCTCCGAGCTGGGTAGCATGCTGATCAAGAGCTGGATATCAGCGGCGGAAGCTCGCTTTGTCACAGACTCGCCGAGTTTATGGCACAGACGGCCATTCTTGCGTTGGTTGGAGGGAGGAGTTGCACAGCGAAGGTGGTGGAGGCACGGCGCTTCATCCTGGAGATCACCGAGGCTGGGTGCCACGTCCGGTTGCAGTGGTTGCCTGTTCCGCATGGTCACGATCGGTGGATCAAGCTCGCAGCCTCTGCCCTTGCAGCTCCCACCCGAACGCTTGCCGCAGTCGCCAAGCCATCCGCTGCCTCGTTTTCCTCACTTCGCTTGGTTCTCACGCCCATCACCGCCTATCAGGTGCAAGGGATGTGTTTTGACACTTCATGACAAATGCAATCGACGGATTTTGCTCATGATGAAATACCTTTAGAGGTAGCTCGCAGATCTGCGAATTTCGATGGATCAATCTTGACACCGCCTGATGCTGCCTTGGGGCCTGACAAAACTGAGTGGGAACGCTCCAATCGACTGCGATAAGTGAGCAAAATGAACACTCAATGTTGTATTCGCTGTTTTATACAATTTTCGATGTTCTTACTTTTTCCGCTCCTTCTTTTGCACTTGGTTTTTTCTGTGTTATCTGCTTGTTCTATTTGTACTCTTTTTTTTGGTATTTTGGCATTTTGCTGCTTTCTGCTGCGTTTTCCTTCAATTTCCTTTTCTCTCTTGTCCCATTTTCGTGCGTTTTCCAACTATGATGGTAAATATAAATGCAATTATTTGTTCCAATGATTATGAAATCCCCACACGTGAGGCTCTGGACGCCGCGCAAATATTGGCACGGGGTCCAACGCATCATGCGCCTGAGGTCCCCAGGCTAGGGATTTCAGAAACCAAGGCTGATTCGCCCCATATGTTGCCATTCGCTCATTCGTATGAAATCCTTAACGTGTTATCCGATTGAATTATGCATTAACTCTAAGCAGCGACTGAAGCATTCGGTAGCCAAGTGAGTGGCCAATCGATGAAAATAGGCCATTTCGTATGTCACTCAATGCAATTAATGGCATAAGGGATAACAATATTGTTATCCCTTCTCTTTCAGCGGCACTGGCTGGTGAAGCTTGAAATGCCTTTTGTTTCTGTGCAGCGAAGGCAAGCACATCGTGCTGGCCACTGAGACAGAGATCGAGATCAAAGCATGGAATTCTCCCCCCAGTGAGCCCGCCAATTCCAAGGGCGGGGATCAGCATGCTGAATTTCTTCATGCGGATATTTCTTACCGCATTGCTGCTGAAATCCAGGGTATAGGGAACATGTTGGAGGCGTTGATGCCAGATTAATGATCGGATAGAGCGTTATGAATGTGTCTCAGTAAATCATGGGGGATTCGGATAGCATCACTGATAAAGCGATAGATGCAAACCTGCGAAGTTAATTGGTGGCTATTTTTGGTCAACACAGAAGCGCTCTGGGATGCGCAACATTGCTCCTAGGGAAAGTGGCAAAAGGCTTATTAAATCACATCACTGGCTTCTACAATTTCTCCTGAAAGGTTGTTGTGTATGGAGGAAGGAGAGGGGGAGACGGGGACGAGTCCAATACACTGTGATAAAAGTCGAGGCGGCCTTTGCTTGAGGCAGGCAACTATAAATGCCTCCTGTCCAAGAGAAAACGAAAACGCAAATGCGGTTCCTCATGACTCGAAATGCGCCAAGCGCAAACAATCTAGATTCGGCCGGTCAGAAAATTCGCCCATCCCCTCTGGGATTCCCGCAAACAGGGCTATTTGGGCGATCCCGTTGCATGAATATGCAACTGGAACACACGACAATCGAACACCCTCGAACGACGCCACCATCGGCGCTAGGCGCTCAGCGCTAAGCGACATTCATTCACACTGTGTTTAAAAGCGATTCGCCTTCCGAATGTGTGCATCTCAGTTACAACCCAACTATACAATACATTTATCCTCCGTTTCCTATCCGGTAATGCGTGATCACCCGTTGGATCACTGATGATACGATATAAAACATGTTTGGGTGCATCCAAATCGCATATGGGCAGCGAAATCAGTCATTACGGGCCACAACAACCAGGCTATGACTTCCCTTCGCCTTCTCACGCCCTTCCACTCCGGTATCCTCCCCTCGGCCATCTATTCCCTCGGCCTCTGCTTCAGGCATCCGCTACTGCAGATCCTGGCACACTGAACTCCGTACTGTTCGGAAGGCGCTGTATCATACGTGCCCGTTTAATTGTCACACAATCATTGCGTCATCATGGCGCAAATATCCAAACCCATTGTTAGCGTTGCTGTTAAGGTTAGGTGGCAAACGATGACCCAACACCTACCCAGAATGCTTACAGGACAACACACACACTCGACGCCGGCCCAACGGCCTCGCATGCAGCCTTACAAGGTGGCTCCCACGCAGAAATCGGGTATACAATTTTTCGTCGGGTTCCACGTTCGAATACCTTTCTTGACTTCGACCGCATCAAATACGACCCGATTTCTTCCTGCCTCCCAACCACAGGGATCTGCCTCATCACAAACGCCCATCAGGCAGCTCATTCACATAGCCAAGTGCAAAATACGCCATGGATGTCCTTTCACACAGAAATCAGTTCGGAATATGGGCCACTAGAACATACAATCTCTTGCATAACCACAAACAAACGATAAGCCAAAAATGTGAGAAGACAAGTCCGGCCTTTGAATACTACTCCACCAATCAAACACATAATTTCTGGCTACTCAGATAATTCATACGATTGTTTGCTAGCCTTGAAGACACTTGCAAGCCAAACTGAAGGAACAAAATCAAGGCACTTTAAGGCTGTGGAACCACCACAGCCACGAATTCTCCACAAGAATATTGTGTACAAGACACCCTGCCCAAGGCATTTCCATGTGAACTGCGCTGCGCTTTCCATAAAACTTTATTTTGCCCCATACAAACATGTATGCGCGCTGTCGAAAAAGGCATCTCACGTTCAACCCTGGGTCAAAAGAAACCTGCATAATATCAAAGGAGTTCATGCATGTTTTTAACGATTTTCGCTTGGAAAAAATGAATTTCACTGGGAAAAAGGGGGCCAAATAACACGTGTTCAAACGTGTACAAATCTGCGGGTTTGTGTTATCTTCGTGTCTTTAGCATGCAGAACACTGATGAAATGCATCTATATGTGTTCGCAAAAAGTGCTATTTGGACCTTTTTTTGCTAGTGTTTGCAGTGGCTGTCAGGTCAGGCCATCCCATGTGAAAACAAATGCTCTCTTAAATGCAGAGCAGTCGCCAGCCTTGGTGCATAATTGATTCACCCAGTGAAACAGCGGTCATCTGGCTATGCGAACAGCCGCGAAATTGCGAATGATATACCAACAAACGTGGCTGCCGCCAGGGCTGCTGCTGCCTTCGGAGATCCACAAATATTTATTGTTAATTGCAGTGCAATTATTGCAGTATATTACTTTAGTAACAAAATTATTTTGTCGGTTCGCTCTATAGCATTTGTGACGATAGCGTCATGGCATTCTGCTTTTCAAGGGGAACCGCCTTTCCTTCGAAAATTTAGGTGTGCAATTGGTGCGCACTAAGAACATCGACATAAGGAAAAATTGCGCCCATGGCACCTCATATTCCACGTGGAAATCCACAAACTTGAGCCAGCACTTCCTGTGAAACCAAGGTCGCTCACAAACGAAACTTTTGACACCTTCCTGCAGGGGTGTAAAGGCAGGAATTGGTTGTCCAAGGACGACCATGGTATGACAACACGCTGTGCATGAAGATCAGCCCCACGCTGCCGTCAGAAGATGCAAGGGCACCACTGTGCCTCTCCAATGGGGAGCCGTTTCTTCAACTGTAACAAATGATGTTGTCCTTCCAGGTTGAAGGGCATCCATTTGGTGCGCCTTTCAGGCGACAAGCGCAACCAAGGCACGCCAGCCGTGCCTCGACGCTGCAATCCAAGAAATATTTACACCGCATAGAAAACCCCGCCCAGAAAAAAAAAAAACACCGCCCGGGCACCGGTGCCCGGGGGTTCGGCCTCGGCATATCTCCAGCCCCCGGTTCAGTCACTCAAAATCCGATTGGCTGCCCGCCCTGTCACATCGGAGCGCCCCCCCCCCCGCCCGGTCGGACCCCCTCCCCACAGCCTGACCCAGCCCCACCTGTAGGGCTACAAGTTCGTGGCAGCCCCGTGCTTGGTCAGCGGCGGCATGGCGGTGCCGCAGGCGTTGCGCCCGTGGGGCGCCCGGCCGCTGCGAGCGGCGAACGCAGGCGCGGCGGAAGGGATGCGAGCGGCCAAGTCCCAAGCGCTGCGGGGGCCAGGTGAGACTGCCCGGGCGGGTGCCAGCGGCGTCGGGCGATGGCGCAAAAGGGCCGCGTTGGTGTTTTCTAACTTTCGGAAGGGGATGGCGGGGTGCGTTTTTTGCGGAAGGGCGGGAGCGGGTGGGTGGGGAGGGGGTTGGGCGGGGGGGCGCTGTCTGGAGCTTGGCGGAGTCTGCTTTGGGTGGATGGGGTTGGGGCGTTTCGGAGGATTGGAGTTGCGGGGAGGATTGGATCCCGGGGGGGATCTGGGGGCAGGGGGTGGGGATCTGGCCGGGGGGGGGCGAGGGGCGTGGGCGGGGCGGCGGGGGAGAGGATCTGCGGAGCGGGCTCGGGGTGGGGCCGTGCCGACGGCGGGAGCCTCCCAGGGCTGCCGCGCGATTGGCGCCCTGTTGGTTGCGGTGTCCGAGTCCTGGATTTGCCACCCTCGGTGCTCGCCATTCGCCCACAGGCGGCGCCCCCAAGAAACAAACAAGCCCTCAACGAGACATCCCGCCCACCGACGGGGCCCGCCGGTGTCTCGTTGAGGGCTTGTTTTTTTCTTGGGGGCGCCGCCTGTGGGCGAATGGCGAGCACCGAGGGTGGCAAATCCAGGACTCGGACACCGCAACCAACAGGGCGCCAATCGCGCGGCAGCCCTGGGCGGCTCCCGCCGATGCGCGCAAGCTTGAGTCGCCCTCGTGGCACCAGGCTCGCAATGCCTATGTCGCCAGCTGCATCCATCTGTTTATCGATCTGCGCCCGGGGATAGATGCATGGTGAGCTGGGTGGCACGAGAGAGACTGAGGCTTGCGTGCATCAGCGGGAGGTCGCCAGTGTTGCCGCGCGCCTGACTGCTGCCGCCCGATTTTGCGCGCTCTTGGATGCAGTGTCGCAGTCCTGAGTGTGTCGCTCACGGTGCTCTTTATTCACCGCGATTCCCCGATGCCAAGGTCGGATCCCTTGTTTGATGTGTCCTTGATGTGCTTGCGGTGGGCTCCCATTGAGGCGCAGCGGCCGTTTGGACAGCGGTGTGTTGGCTCCTCTGCTGAACTCCCTCGTTGAGCTGCCCCGTCGAACTTCCTTGATTGTTGAATTATTGTTGCTGACACCGAATGCTGTGGCCAGGGCATCTTCGGCGGATGGTGTGCCCGATGGCGTGCTCGCCACGCACCGGCGGGGAGCCAAACGATGGACGCAGGCGCATGAGCCGCCAAAAGGTGACGATTCCTTCCCACCTCGCTTCAGACTGCCTGACAATTCCAATGCGCATTGGGGCTTCCGCCTACGGTTTTCTTGGCAAGGACTTCGAAACGCGCGCCTCGCCAATTGGCACTGCATCGCGATGCGCAGATGGCATGGCCGACAACAATCGGGTCTCGAGGAAGCGAGAGGAAGCCCAAGAGCGCCGCGATCCGCAGGAATTCTCAAAGCTGCCACCGGAGGAGGGTAGCGACTTCCAAGATAACCGGAGACAGAAGTCGTTGCGCTGCTCTGGCAATGTTTAGGGATTGCCATCGGCCATGCCATCTGCGCGTCGCGATGTAGTCCCATCTGGCGAGGCGCACGTTTCGAAATGGCGCGGAGCTGCACCCGCCCGAGCGACGCGTTCCAGGTCGATTCAGAGCACCCGAGATTGCCGTTGCAGCCGCTGACTCCCACTCTTGTCTCTGCGCAGAAGGGGAAGGAGAAGGCGCAACGCCCGCAATCCTCCTGGAACCATGGTCCCAGCAGGCTCTGGGGGGAGTGCAGCGGCCCACCCGAGGTGTGGACGCACTGGGGCGTGGACGAGATGCCCGACGCACCGGACCCGGTGCCCGCAAGCAGCGCAGCTAAGCAGACGGGGCCAGGCTCCGGGGCCAAGGCCGAGCGCAAGAGCACAGAGGAGGAGTTCTGGATGTACTCCAGGACGCCTGGGCCAGCGGTGGACCTGCTGACGAACCCAGACATGTGCATTCTTCTTGCGGAGGTGAGTGCTGGATGTATGGACGAGGAGATGCGCTTCTTCAATTGCTGGATGGCAACATCCTCGCCAAGTCGTTGGAGGCCACTGAAGAAGCAGTTTGCAAGGGATGCCTGTCAGAATCTGCAAGAAGCACGTCTCCTGGCAGACGTTTCCGCACCTGTTGCATGTCGGCGGATTATTCACTGAGTGGTTCTGGTGCCGCACAGCCGTCAACACCATGGAGTACGAAAAGCTTGCGCTCAAGGGTCCCTATGAACTGCAGTGGGGTAACATGCTGAATGGAAGAGTTGGCAGGTAGCTGCAGTCCAAGAAACTTGAGACATTCGCTGCCCAAGGAATTGCTCATCTGGTGTTTGTGTGCAGGTCTATGTGGTCATGTTTGGTGTTGGAGAGGCACAAAAGGAGGGCGTATACTCAAGACGGACAACTTTGCACAATGGGCTTAACTCCGAGACCGTCATCTGTTTTGAATGCAAAGATGATG